TGCCTGTAGTCCCGGCTACTCGGGAGGCTGAGGCAGGAGAATTGTCTGAACCCAGGAGGCGGAGGTTGCGGTGAGTCGAGATTGCGCCATTGCACTCCAGCCTGGGTAACAAGAGCGAAACTCCGACTCAAAGAAAAAAAAAAGAAATTTCAGTTCTGGCCCTGAATTTTCAGGAGCTGGTGAGACAGCCACTTTTATCTCATAGGCTGAGTTGGAAGAAGGGACACCCAATTTATTCTTAAGAAATACCTTGCCAGGTACTGTGGCTCAGGCCAGTAATCGAGCATTTGGGGAAGCTGAGGCAGGCAGATATCTTGACCCCAGGAGTTTGAGACCAGCCTGGACAACATGGCAAAACCCCATCTCTGCAAAATATGTAAAATTTAGCTCAGCGTGATGGGGCTGCACTCTGGTCTCAGCTACTCGGGGGTTGAGGTGGGAGGATTGCTTGAGCCCTGCAAGTCAAGGCTGCAGTGAGCCATGATTGTAGCACTGCATTCCAGTTCTGGGCAATAGAACAAGACATTGTCTCAAAAAGCAAAAAAGGCCTATATAATAAACTTATAAAAAGTGGATTTTGTGTGTGTGTACACAAACACAACCCTGCACACACATGCACTCAGGTGTTCTGGAAAAACACAGGAATCTAGAGCCAAAAGACTTGAGCTTTTTGTTCCAGCCCTGCCACTCACCAAGTGTCTGATGGGATTAGTTACCTGCCATGTCAGAATTTTTCTTGTGTAAAATAAGATAATAGTACCTTCCAGAGTTGTGAAAAACTATCAAATGAGATGGCACATGAGAAAACACTTTGTTCCTTGTGAAACCTGACATAAATATGTGCAAGTTTATATAAAGACTATCATCTGCCTATCATTTTCAAATATGGAAAAAGTGAACGCAGGAGAGGATGTTGGGATTTCTGGCAGAGATTTGCTAGCTTCCACCTGCAGAGATGGAAGTAATAGGGATTCTTAGGCCTTAGTACTAACTGCTTCTGGTTGCAGTTTGCCCCCATGGCTAAATGAAGCTTTTAGAAGAACCAGCCTGACACATGGAATGTGGAATGGTGGTGGAACGTAACCGCACACCTCCCACCAAGTAAACTCCAGGTTCAGAAGCAGCAGCCCCAGTTGAGGGCATGCATGTTTGTAACTCAGCTGAGCCACCTTTCCAGAAGCAGAGGCTTTCCAAACAGGATGCCCCCCACTCTGCCCATTCTGCTTTTGGTTCAACTTGACTTCCTACCTTCAGTGAGAACATGGAGAATTCATCCTGACTGGGTCCCTGAGCAATGTTGGCATAGGAAAGAAAAATGAGGAAGGCCCTAGGTAGACTGGCCCTGTAGGAGGAAAGAATCAATGAAAGAGCACAGAAAGAAACTTGCATTTCCTTTATGACAGTTCCTTCAAATTGAGGATGAAGAGGCTGAGGTTCTGAATTGGTTGGCACAGAAACAAGTCAGTGGCTTTTCCACATCCACACATTGAGTTATATTTCTGCCCTTTCATTGTCATTTTCTCTGATCTCCAATTAAAGATCTAAGTGGCATTTTGAAGCTTTCCTTTCTACTCTGGCCAGTGTACCATTGGTAGTCTGAAATTGGCCATAATGGCAGTATTTGTACCATGGGAACTAGCATATGGCATATCAGGGCTTTTTGTTTTGTTCTTCGATAGCCAGTAAACATATCAGCACAACACTGCCGTAAATATTCTCTGCTTCTTCCTGGTAAGGATAACCTCATCTCTGTCTCCCCACTCCCCAACTCCGTCTGGCACAGGCACATGGGGTCACTCTATTGTGCTGTTTTCCTACCCAGAAGGGGCCGTCTCAAGTGATCCCTGTGCTTCTGGTCTGGTTAAGTTCCATACTCTTTCCTAGGAGCTGTACTCACTGCATATGTATCTATATTGTTTCCCACCTCAGCTGTTTTCATTTCTGCTCTCCCAGTTTTATGACAAAGCCTAGAACACTCTTTTTGCAGAGACTCACCTGTTTGAATTTCACCTTCACAGTAAGGCCCATGGATGACTATTTTCACACTGTCAGAGGGGCAGGGAGGCCTTCTGAGAAAGTGGTCTCGTGGATGGTGATGCTGGGAGTGTGAACTGTCAGCAACAGCATAGCTAGGAATGTAGTGAGCAAAGGCACCGTAAAGATGCAAGCAGAGCTCTTCAACCAATGACCCCAGGGACTTTCTCTGGGTTGCCTGGCAATGAACTGGGAACAATGGATGCTTCTTTCCCCGTGGGAGGATCAGCCAATGTTCCCAGGTGCTGGAAGTCTGGCTTTCTCAGCTGACACCCACACAGAAAATGTTTATTCTCTTTATCAAGTCCGCTTTCATGCTTTCACTATGAAAAGGAGCAGCCCAGGCTGCGTGTGGGTCCCTTTCTGGAGCACAGCCCCTCTGTGCTTCAGGCTGCCCACTTCCTGGGCTCACGGCTCCGTAGGCTGCAGAACAGGCACTGTGTATCTGCAGCCCTCTGCCCACTGCTTCCAGGTGGCACAGGCGACTCTGTGCCTGCTGACAACACAGGCAGAAGCCAAGATTGGAATGAAATTCAGAGGAAGGTGGTGGACAGTGGAAATGAGTGGATATAAGCTTTCATAAAGGGGCTAAGATTTAACTTTTAAACCATTATTCCAATCACCTTGTATCTCATCTTCTCAAATTCTGTTAATGAAAGTCACAAACCAATAGCTCTCTTTGTGATTTTCCATTTATGCCCCCTTTCTGTCGTCCATTGTTTGCCCACTATCTCTTTTTCCTCTCCGTTTAACATTAGCTATTTTTAAAGGAGCACTTTAGAACAGTTTCCTTCCTATTTTGCACTGCGTAGTGTTGAAATATGTGGAGGCTCTACTGGCACATGCCACAGATGCCACAGTGGCACTCAGTCATGCAGGACCTAAGAGTTCAGCTTCTGGTTTCTGGTAGGCCCACATTTGTGTCACGCTACAGAACTTGTGGATCAGTCCTCCGCCTTTGTGACTAGAAACCAGACTGCTCAGGTCTAACTTTTAGATCAGAAGCTGTGCCTCAAGATGAGATCGCTATTCCTTGTTGCCCAAATTTTTTATGGTTTACTATGCTATCCAAACTAATAGATCCATTTCTAAGCTCCTTCACATGATTTAATTCTTTCCAGGGCTGTTAGACCAAAGGCTTCAGACCCCTATGTGGGCCTCTCCACAGGACAGTGCACCACATGGCTGACTTTCTTCCAAAAGAATGAGCAAGTGAGAGGGCACAAGAAAGAAGCCATAACCTTGTGTAACTGAATCTCAAAGATAACACACCATCATTTTTGACATATTCGATTGGTTAGCAGCAAGTTCCTAGGCACAGCACACAGGAAAGGAGATAATGCCAGAGGATGAACCCTCAGAGGCAGGGATCATCCTAGAGAATATCTGCTACACTGGGTAAATCACAACCTGTTCAAAACAAGGCAAAATGTCTTCTTAATATGACATCCTTAAAAATGGAAGTGCACCTCTGTGTTTTCTAGGGCACTTTGCTAAGTGCAAGTACAGGGTCACATGCTTAGACATCTAAAATTGTAGAAATATTTGTGTTTGAGTTTCTGATTGTTCTATCACTTGCCCATTTACTCTCTGATGCTGCTGTTCCTCAATGGAAACTACATTTCCCAGGTTTCCTTGCTCTTTAGTTTCCAGTAGAATTGGCCAATGAGTGGCACTGATGGAAGATGATGGTGGAGCCAGAGTATGTCTCTTTTTCTTTGTTTCCTGAGGCTTCTCCAGCTTCCTTGGTACTTTGACTCCAGTCCTACCACAGAGCCTTTCTCCTGTTGGTCTCAGTTCCTGCCTTACCAGACTGTGCTCTAACCACTTGACTCCAGCATGACCTCTTCCCTTTGTTCCTAGAGGACCGAGGTGGCAACTTTCTGCTGCAGCTTATCTGTGGGTTGCCCTCACCCCCTCTCTTGGGTCTCTCCACTTTTTCATCACCTGTTTATCAAATTACATCTATTTAATTTCTTCTATATGAAATCTCTAGAATGGACTGTACTTATTCCCTGACAAACAGTAGGATTGAATGAGCATTGCCCTTTCCTGAGCAATTCATGTGCGGAGAGCACAGTTTGGAGTTTTTGCCAGTCCTAAATATCTGACCTGGTCCTCATGCTGCTGGAAATCTAGAGGATGGTCACTTCTTCTGGATGTACCTTCACCACTCTGGGCTCAAGATTCTTGTTTTGTAAAGTGGGAGGATTTGTGATAAATGTGGTCCCTTAATCTCTGAATATTGGGAACTCTAGAATTTTTCCGTAAGGAATATTTAGGAACGGCATTCTGATTGGGAAGTGGTAGAAGCATTTTATGAGACTAAAGTGGGAAGAAGGGAAAGAAACAGGTAACATAAAACCCTGAATTGTCCGTATTCCTGAAGGTGAGCGTGACTGGTAGAAACTATGAGGAAAGCTGACATGATAAAATAAGTGCATTATCTTACAAATCACTTCGTGTTTTTCAGTCCACTCCCTGCTTTCTGCCTCACCTCCAAATCAAGGAAGAGTGCTTAGGAATAAAGTTCTAGCCTGGGCAACATGGCAAAATGCTGCCTCTTCAAAAAATAAAAAAATTAGCCAGACATGGTGGCGTTCACCTGTGGTCACAGCTTCTCTGAAGGCTAAGGTGGGAGGATTACTTGAGCCCTAGGGGCAGAGGCTGCAATGAGCAGAGATTGTGCCACTGCAATCCAGTCTGGGCAACAGGAGTGAGACTCTGTCCCGGAGGGAAAAAAAAAAGAATAAATGTAACAATTAGGAAAATAAAATTTTTTGGTACTTGGGATAACAATAATTTACAAAGTAGAATTCGTTACTAGAAAAATCTCAGGAAGAGAGGCAGCTATCTTAGCTGTAAGAATATGGACGATTAACATCTTTGGGTATGATTTTGTCTGTAGAGTACATACTTTGAGCTAGGTACTATTCACTGAATTGTTCACTGTATCTTTTCCACAGAGCAGAATGCAGCACACAAGTGTCCCTGGGATAGAAAACCCGACTGATCAGAGACCACTGCTTGATGAAAATGTCTTTGATTACCACTCTATGCTCAGAAATTATCTTCTAATTTGTATCTTTGTCTCCACACCAGAAAGTAATGCAATAAAAACCTCTCTGATACTTATTTTTAATATAAAATGTCTTTTTAATTATAATTTGATAAAGTAATGGTATGGTTTATAAACCTCTCTCATGTGAATTTAGGTTTGAATAATCAAAGTAATAGATATTCTTACCATGTGCCAGACATTGTTATAAGCACTTCAAAAATATTATCTAATCCTAGCAACAATCCTACTAAAGTAGATAATAGTTGCCATCGTGAATTTTTTTGTCAAATTACATAACTCCTCAAATCTTGGTGGATAATAACAAGAAGGGTTATTTCGGGCTCAAATTCTATTTCTGTTTGGATCAGCAATGGCTCTGAAACATATCTTCTTCATAGCGAGATCCAGGCTGAGAGAAATTGACATAAAGGGATCTCATTATGTTCAAAGATTCTGCAGGAAAGTGGACACATTCTATTTCTACTCATATTTTATTGAGTAGAAGCAAAGCAGCTCACATGTAAAGACTGATATGCAGGTAGTAGGAAAGAGTGCTCCTCATATGGAGAGGAATATTGTAAACCCATGTCAATGGGCAAGAATATATAATACTGCCAAAAAGGGAGGCAAAAACATGGGAGCAATAGTACAATTTACTGCAATATTCCTGTCCAAATTTTAGGCTTGAGAAAATTGAGAAATAGAGTGTAGTAAGTTTCTAAAGTCACCTAGTAAATGATGGAGAATTGAGATTGGAACGGAGTAGTACATCTCCAGAACTCTGATACCCAGATTCCAAGATGTCTCAAAAAATTCTCATCTGGTATTCCCAGGCTTGTGTATCTTCCTCCCAAATTGGATAGCTCTGACCTATGAAACTAACAAATATTGTGACTCCCAAAGTTAAGTCATAAATGGTATTCTGACTTCTGTTTCACTCTCTCTTAAATCACTCTGGGGAAAGCCAGCTGCCAGATACTGAGCCCTCGTGTAGCCCTACAAAGGGTGTCATGTGCCAAGGAACGGAAGTCTTCTGTTGATAGCCAAAACCAGCTTGCTAGCCAGGTGAGCCATCTGGGAATCTTCCAGCCCCATTCTTCAGTGTAAGTCTACAGATGACTAAAGTCCCAGCAAATATCTTGACTCCAGCCTCCTGAGAGAGCCCATGTTGAAACTACTGTTCCCTCATCCTCAAATTCCTGAATCATGGAAGGTGTGTGACATAATGAATATTTACTATTATTTTAAACCACTAAATTTTGGGACAATTTATTATGTAGCAATAGAGTCTACACAAGAATCGATCTGTTAAAACATTATGCAAAGCTGCCACTGCATATAAATTAGCGATTATGTGTAAATTGAAAATCCTTACATTTATAAACAAACAAATTCATATAAGGGGAATGGAGAGGGAAAAGCAAAGAGATATTAAGGAAACAATAAGTATCACAGATAAAGAGAGAAACTGAAAAACTGAAGATACACAAAAAGGCCAAATGCAATGTATTCATTAAACCACCTCTTCCAAAGACAGTGGCCAGAAGTTTGAATAAACAGATGCTGAAAAGATTGTTTTAAAAAATGATTATAGGTTCAATGTTAAACGGAGTAGAAAAGTTGTTTATATCGCCGAACCTAATGTAGCCTATAGTAAACTTTATGAATATGTTGCAATAGTCTAATTGTCTGTCATAAATTAAACAGGTATATTATACTTAAAACATGTTCCTCTGTTACTAATTCTATGCACATCTGCCTCCTAAGGCCAAGGAGACTGAGAGGCATAAGAAGGAAGATGACAAATCGTTTCTCAGAAAGAAACATTTAATACGGACTTATAAACAGAAGCCACGTCTCCTGACAAGTTGGTGAATCTGCCCATTCACCTTTACCCCATCCCAGGCCCCAGGACTGAAAGACCATAGAGAATTTGCCTAAGGGCAGGATTATAGTAAGTATGTATTTACAATAATAAGATTGTTTTGACCTTAAAGGCAGGATTTATGCCTGCCACCATCACCAGCTGATTTTTGTGTTTTTAGTAAAGACAGGGTTTCACCATGTTGGCCAGGCTGGTCTCAAACTCCTGACCTCAGGTAATGTGCCTGCCATAGCCTCTCAAAGTGCTGGGATTACAGGCGAGGCACTGCACCAGCCCAGCCAGTATCCAGTTAATTTTGTTTTCCAACATTACTTAACTTTTATCTTCTTCCCTCCCTTAAGTGTTACTATGTTATTATTTTTTTTCCACCACTATGGAGAATCTATATCACATTTTGGTATTTTGTATTTTTTATTTTTACCACGTATGAAAAACATTCTAACATTGTGAAATACTAAGAGAATTTTGTTTTTTTGCAAAAAGTTGCAAAAAAAATTGCAAAAATAGTATGTAATGTTTCTTATTGTCAACAACTGTTTTCCTCTAATGTTAATGTTTTACCTAGCCATATATAATGATTGGAAATAGGAAAGAGACATTGGTAAAATACTAACTAAACATCAGACCTATTCAAATATCACACATTTTCCCACAAATTTTTTTTTTTCTGTCTCAGGATCCTATTCTGCATCTCACATTGAATTTAGTCACTACTTGTTTCTTAGTCTCTTTAAGTCTTATTAGTTCTGCAATCTGTTCTTATATTTATGATGTTCACACTTTTGAAGAGTGCTGATCAGTTATTTTGAAGAATATCCCTTGACGAATTTCTTTTTGTTTCGGTGGAGTGAATTATGTGTTTTTCACAGGAAATACTTCCAAAACGATAAAATGTCCTTCTCAATGCAATGAGTTCATCATACACATATGTCTCTTTACTTTGTGATGTTTACCTTTGTTAGTTAAGGTGGTGATTGCCAGGATTCTTCATTGTAAAGTTCATTGTATTATGTATATATTCTTTTGTACTTTGCCTTATCACTTAAATGTATATCCTGGAATTCACTGTATACTACTTTATGGAGATCAAAGTCATTTTTGTAGCTGCATATTACTGTACTGTGTAAATATGTCCTACTTTTATCCAACAGTTCTCTTATGTAGGAACATTAAAGTTGTTTGAAATATTTTACAATTCCACACATTGCTGCGATGAATAACTGTGGGCGTGCAACCCAGAGCTTTAATTATTGACTTCAGTAAAAAGAAAAACAATGCTGAAGATATCATATCTATCTAGTATAAAGCACCTCTTTTCCAACTTCTCTCTTTAATAAAGCAATCATGGTACATCATGCTAAAATACAGAAATTCAGAATTAAACTCTTTAAGTGCAGAACTGTGAGGTAAAAGCAACCATGTTCAATCTTCTTTTTTCTTTCAATTTTTCTCACATTTTTCTTCTTAGTTTATAATCATATTTGTAGTTTCGTATTACTCCTATCATGTCCAAAATAAAAGAGCTCTGAGTGTCCTCCATTTTCTACCACTCAGGGTTCCTTAGGGGCTTTAAAAATGTCAATGATAAAAAATTACTTTCTTAGCTCCTTAAAGAACAACATACTTGATAATATTTTATGACTATAAAAGTTCAGGAAATTGCATAAGAAAGACATACTACCACTCTGGACATGTGAACAGTCACAGTAGAAATGTCTTTTACATAAGTGCCTAACACAAAGATTTGTGTATATAACTAAAACTACATGCAGTGAGAACTGGTGTTTTATATTCGATTCTAACTCACTGAAAAGAGAAATATTTTGGCCTTGACAACTAAATTGATTTCACAACTTTACATGCTTGTTCGGATCTGCAGCTTGAGAAAACACTGCTTTATAATAGAGTACTGTACAGGCTTTCAAGTAAGACCAATGTGCACTGGAATCTGGAATATATATATATATATATATATTTTTTTTTTTTTTTTTTTTTTCAGACAGAGTCTTACTCTGTTGCCCAGGTTGGAGTGGAATGGTGCGATCTCGGCTCACTGCAACCTCTGCCTTCTGGATTCAAGCAATCCTCCTGCATCAGCCCCTCGAGTAGCTGGGACTACAGGCGCACTCCGCGATGCCCGGCTAATTTTTTGTATTTTTGTCGAGACAGGGTTTCACCGTGTTGCTGATGCTGGTTTCGAACTCCTGAGCTTAGGCAATCCGCCCGCTTCCACCTAGCCCGACCTGGACAGTACCTCTTACCAACAGTTTTCTCAAGAGAATTTTTTAACCTCTGCATGCCCGTTATCTCCTTTCCAGAGTGGAGATAACTATCCATAACAGAGGATTGTTACATTGACTAAAGAATATAGGTAGCTCAGTCTGCAGCCCAGTTGTGTGTGTGGCGGCGGGGGCGGGGGATGCAGACAGTACATAGTTCAGTAGCCAAAAAATGAAAAATATAACTGATTAAAAATGATAAAAAGGGATAAGGAATGTAGATGCTGTACTAGAGGATTGCAGTAGTCTTCAGGCAGCCATGGTTCAGTCTACCTTTTGTGGTTGGAAAATAATGACTCATTGAATGAGGAACTTTACTCTCCTTTCTCCTTCTTGAGCCCACTGCAGTGGCCAGCCAGGTGTGAATCAAAGAAAGTCAAGATCGAACTGATGCTGCCCCCATCTTCCCAATATATGGTCATATTCAACATGGATATCTTTTCTTCTTCTTTTTTTCTTGTTTTAGACAGAGTCTTGCACTGTTACCAGGCAAAGAAACAAGAATTATCTGGGCGTGGTGGCAGACGCCTGTAATCCCAGATACTTGGGAGGCTGAGACAGGAGAATCGCAGTGAGCCGAAATTGCGCCGCTTGACTCCAGCCTGGGCGACACGAACGAAACTCTGTCTCAAAAATAAATAAATAAAGACACTCATGAACATGTGTGTGTGTGCACACGGCTAGTTTTGAGATAGCCAGCCCTCTGATCAAGAAGAAAGTGAGGTCTTTTGGTATTTCTCTTATTTCATCACAGAAAAGTGTCAAATAGGTGATTGATTTCGTTAGCTACCAATCCTCAATCTTTTTTACCCAGGCTCGACGGCACTGGCACGTTCACTGCAACCTCTGCCTCCCAGGTTCAAGCGATTCTCCTGCCTCAGCCTCCCGAGTAGCTGGGATCACGAGCGCTTACCACAACACCAGGCTTTTTTTATTTTCTATTTTCTTTTTTAGTAGATACGACGTTTCCCTATGTTAGTCAGGATGGTATCGAATTCCTGACCTCCAATAATCCGTTTGCCTTAGCCTCCCAGAGTGTTGGGACTGCATGCGTGAGCCACCGCACCCAGCCCTTGCATGTGGAGGCGGAGGCGGAGGCGGTGGCTTCAGTAAGCGGAGATCGAGTCATTGCACTACAGCCTAGGCAGAGTGAGACTCCCTCTCAAAATAAAAAAAAAAAAAAAAAGAAAGAAAGAAAAAAAAAGAAAGAAAACACACCACACCCTAGGGGCCAAGCAATGAAAGCTCAAACACCACAGAATTCGGAGAGTTTTCTCCTAGTCATAAGGAATACACTGGATAAAGGGAGGCAGGTGAAAGCGAGCTTCAGTATGCCTGTGTAAGTTTCAGTCATTTACAGTGTTTTTGTTGTCATTAAAAAGGTACAGTTCTACTATTCTGTAATCAAATGCCCACAAAATCAGTTTCCCTAGTCTGCTTTAGAGATTTATCCATCTCCCTTTTTATTTCAATAAATAGCAAAGGGCACATTTATTTTTGCACTGTTGTGCACTAATTAGATTGAAAATATTTACACATTAAGATATTAAACACATTGATAATTTACATCACTTTTATACCAAATTCAACATTAAACAGTACTATTTTGATACATTTCACTCATGTTATATAAAAATTCTATATTCTCTTTATTTCAGCAGCAGAATTTGTGTCTGGAGATTTTAAGCAATGAAATTAAAATTCAAAGTGATATCCAATGCCATGTTACAGTCAGAGACATCCACAGAATAGTATCATCACCTTGCAGCAGCAGGCAAAAGTTTATTTAGTTTCCATGATAAGTGCCTTGCAGTTCCACCCATACTGTTCCAGTCATAACCGTTTTTAAGAAATAATTCTTTTGATGATGCTTTCATTGCCAACGTACGGACACATTTCTTGGTTGGGCAACTACCTAAAGAAATTCACTCTTTCACACATTGTTCAAAGGATGTTTTCAGAAGGCAATCATTTATAGTGGCTTAGATAGACTCTCAAAGCTCTGCTTCTGAGATCGATATTTTAACTTATCATTTAATTAGTACATGTCACTTATTTTTCTTTCTATGGCACTCTGGGAAACACTGGGACCCAGTCTTCAGGGGAATTGACACCATGCATGGTGAGTGCACTAGTCATTCCTCAACTATTCAGTAATAATAGGGACTGGGTTTCTCTAATAATGGGAGAAGATCTTTTTCAATCTACTCTTCTTATTTATTTTCCCTTATCATTAACGCTTGAATTTCAGCTCTAAAATACTTTATTGCAATTTGGTTCTGAAGCATATGCCGAAAGCATTCAGCAAGGCTGCAGACAAATTCTTTAAAGTGCACCACCACTTCCAGTGACTTTATGAACATCACATTTAAAAATTAATCATATTTCATCTCTGTACCCTGAGTATATTTTGGACTTCCCTTCGTTCCCAAATACCCTGAATTCAAGGTATCTCAATCCATGGAGCAGTTGTCCAGAGGAAGAGAGAAGCAACAGCCCCGCCCCCAACCCTTGGGAGCAGAAAGGGAAAGAATTATCCAAAAGAATTGTTTAAAAACTCAGGTGTATCGGACAGAAGTAAAACCATGGCTGCATAGAATGATGTCCCAGGGGTCCAAAACTTAATCCCATATGGGCAATAATTTGTTTGGCATTAAACTAAATCAGTTTGATGAACTCAAATGCCCTCGGCTCAATAGGCAGGACTCTCCGAGGAGCCTGTGTTACTTCCCTCACTTAAGTGCAGATTTGTAATAAAAATCTTAATGCCAGTGGCATGCTTTTTGGACATATAAGAAGCTAACCACTTGGAGAATCATATTTGAGAGGTCAGAAAACTCCACAGTTAAAGATCGGTTTATAATTTACGAAGAAAATAGAAAGTTTTGTTTCTCTGAGTTGAAATTTGCCAAGCACGGTGGGAAATATTGCAAGTTTTTGGCACAAGGCTTTGTGCTTTCCTCATAATTTGAGATCTGCGTGAAACCTGAGGCTTCGGGGATCATTATCTGAGAAAAATCCGGCAGTTCGGTGTAGACAATTTTTATATTTTTGGCTTTTTTTGAGGTGTAACAAACACAACTCAGGATCCGAGAGGACACTCTGCGGCTGCCAGCGAGGCGGGCTGGACAGCGCACCAATCACGGCGCAGCTCCGCCCTATATAAACGGGCGGGCGCAGCGCCGCGGCCCGAGTCCCGGCCAGTGCCTCTGCTTCCGGCTCGAATTGCTCTCCCTCACGCCTGCCTTCAACATGTCTGAGACTGCGCCTGCCGCGCCTGCTGCTCCGGCCCCTGCCGAGAAGACACCCGTCAAGAAGAAGGCCCGCAAGTCCGCAGGTGCGGCTAAGCGCAAAGCTTCTGGGCCCCCGGTGTCCGAGCTCATTACCAAGGCTGTCGCCGCCTCCAAGGAGCGCAGCGGCGTGTCTTTGGCCGCTCTCAAGAAAGCGCTGGCAGCAGCTGGCTATGACGTGGAGAAGAACAACAGCCGCATCAAGCTAGGTCTCAAGAGCCTGGTGAGCAAGGGCACCCTGGTACAGACCAAGGGCACCGGCGCTTCGGGTTCCTTCAAACTCAACAAGAAGGCGGCTTCTGGGGAAGCCAAGCCTAAGGCTAGAAAGGCAGGGGCGGCCAAGGCCAAAAAGCCCACAGGAGCGGCGAAGAAGCCTAAGAAGGCGACGGGGGCAGCCACCCCTAAGAAGAGCGCCAAGAAGACCCCAAAGAAGGCGAAGAAGCCGGCTGCAGCTGCTGGAGCCAAAAAAGCGAAAAGCCCGAAAAAGGCGAAAGCAGCCAAGCCAAAAAAGGCGCCTAAGAGCCCAGCGAAGGCCAAAGCAGTGAAACCCAAGGCGGCTAAACCAAAGACCGCCAAGCCCAAGGCAGCCAAGCCAAAGAAGGCGGCAGCCAAGAAAAAGTAAGAAGTTACTTTGGCCAACTGCTTAGAAGATCAACACAACCCAAAGGCTCTTTTCAGAGCCACCCACCCATCTCAGTAAAAGAGCTGTTGCACTCCTAGGGGGCGTGGCTGGGAGAAAGACGACGCCAAGGAGGGGCGGGTCTCCCGGGAAGATAGCCGGGAGAGAGGATTTAAAGTCTTTCAGTATGCTAGGTCTGTAGCATTCTGTCGTCCAAGCTCGAGTGGTGGCGTCATCGCGTTATTGCGCTCTCGGGTTCTCGAGTGCATGCCATCTCGGCATCCCTAGCAGGACGTGGCCGGTAGATAATACCATGGGTAAAAAAAGTCAGCGTTTTTCGGGCTTGTTTACTGGGTCTCCAGCGCTCTGAAAAATGAATAGAACACGTACTACTACTACGTATTACACTCCCTGCAGAAGCGTATGTCTCGGGACACAATTGTGCAGTTACAGACACAATTGCCTAAGCGCTGTATGTCAAATGCTTGGGGAGACCACTGTAACAGAACGATAAGAAGCTGTCACTACAGAAAAGATTTGTTCCTTAATGTGGTGTTTGTTTAAATGGCTTGCTGCCAGGCTTCGGGGGACGTCCCAATTAGCAAGTATTCTGTATGCAGCGACTCCCATAATTTGTTACAGGAGTGAGGGAGAGAATGTGAGCTCTCCTAATCTATTGAGTAGTTTCAGTGTAAGCGCTGACACAATGATACATTCAAAAAAAAAAAGCTCTCCAAAACAACTGCTCTACGCGAAGCGCACGGCTGTCTTGACTGAAGAGGTCTATTTATAGTAGCCTCGGGTAGTCTAGTATAGGCCTTCTGATTGGGTAAAAGTAAAGTAACGAAATAGCCAATGAAAACGTAGAACTTTAAGGGTAGTTTATATTGGCATTTGTGACGACACACTTAAATTAATCCAATCATAAACGAAATCTGATTAACCTCATTTGAATACCGCATCTATAAATGAATGGGGCATCAGTGGGAACGATTGTTTTTCCAGGTGTCTGCAATAGTATTGCAACTAATGCTGCAATGCCTGAACCTACCAAGTCCGCTCCCGCCCCGAAAAAGGGCTCCAAGAAGGCGGTGACCAAGGCGCAGAAGAAGGACGGCAAGAAGCGCAAGCGCAGCCGCAAGGAGAGCTACTCCGTGTACGTGTACAAGGTGCTGAAGCAGGTCCACCCCGACACCGGCATCTCCTCCAAGGCCATGGGCATCATGAACTCCTTCGTCAACGACATCTTCGAGCGCATCGCGGGCGAGGCTTCCCGCCTGGCGCATTACAACAAGCGCTCGACCATCACCTCCAGGGAGATCCAGACGGCCGTGCGCCTGCTGCTGCCGGGGGAGCTGGCCAAGCACGCGGTGTCCGAGGGTACTAAGGCCGTCACCAAGTACACCAGCTCCAAGTAACTTTGCCAAGTAAGCGTCTTAACACCTAACCCCAAAGGCTCTTTTAAGAGCCACGCATGTTTTCAATAAATGAGTTGTAATCCTTTCACTTCAAAAGGGGGATTCTTCGATTTTTCAGCACCATATTTCCAATGGCACTGCAGAGGAAATAGATACTATGGGGAATAACGATAGCTACTAGAAATGTTCACTGTGAGCACGCAGTAGATCATTAGCTCATTAGTATGACACAACACTAGCATAAACTGACAGTATCGTAAATGTACAGCCCTTTCGTTTCCGTGTGGAGATTTCCAAGTTGATCGTGATGTTGATCCGAGACTCGGTGTGGTGACAGACCGCCCTGAACACAAAAGAGCACGCTCTGACAACTTCTGTTTGGAGCTTTCTCCACCACCACCCATTTTCTTGTAAAATTTTTACCATGCAGATACGTAATAACTGCAAGTAAAGGCTGAAGACAATGTGAGCTGAACACGGAACTATTAAAAAGATTTCTTGTTTGCTTGCTTTGCAGTTGGGGCAGTTTCTGTGTCAGCTTAGGCTAGCCGGGGAGGGAAAGATGTATCCTAGGTGCTGAGGTGCGGGGGGGCGGGGGTGGTGGGAAGAGAGAGGTAGCTTCTGAGACACTTTAAAATTCTTTTGGGAACTGTCTTTTTCAGAAAGCCATTTAATTTATAGTCTTCTTTTGGCAGCTGTTAGCTTAAAAGTCCTGTAGGTAAGGGGAGAAACCAAATAGTCAATCATTAAAGTGTCTGACTGCAGATAGGCAACTTACCGCAGGACTGAGGCCCCATTTGCAGTACAATTTACCCTTTTTTAGATGCCCCTGAGTACCGAGGACTGGAGAAGGTAGAAGGGGAAAGAAAACCCCTTTCTGGAAGGATGTAGCTTCTCCTGCACAAGGTAGGATGATGACAAAAGGTTTTCACTGCTTTGGAAATGGATGATTGTGGGAGGAAAAGGATCTCGGAAAGAGGGGAGGGAACTGGGAGGGAGTGGCTAGAAGGAAAGGAACAATACTTCTGACAAGAAAATTGTGAGATGGATGAAGCTAGGTTTGGAGTCAAGTGGTGGCTGAGATGGAGTGGTGGTGGGTGATCATTGTGTACAAGGGGAATGAATTTAGAATTTCTAATGACCTCATGCCCTCCTAAACATGAAATCATGGATTACGAGATAACGTTTTCCATAGTGTGTGGCAAGCTTGGTACCTGGATGGATAACTTAAAAGCCTGAATAATATTTTCCGAATTCTTAAAAACAACGAAGAGAGTCTAAGAAAGTAAAGAATTCAGGGACTTGGCGCGTGTTAAACCCCAAGCACTACAGCTGGCTTTTACCCAAGCCTTAACTTTCATTTTAAGGGTGTTATATGGAAACTGATCACGGTGTAGAGCCTGAAAAGAAATCTTTTTAGGTGAATGTGAGAAATTAGACCAAAATCTGTCACTTTGGGGTAGGAGGGTGAACTGGAAATAAACACACAAATCCATCACAGGTGAATGCAAATCAAAGTCAACTCTGAAGCTGGGTTCTAAGCAGTATAGATTCCACTACTAAGGCTTGGACTATAAGCCATTCTTGATGCTTACTTGTTCCTGGTATTCCTACCATAGAGATTCAAACATACAAGCTGAGAATTTAATTTAGACACATTCCAGACTGGTTTTGTGCCCCTGAGCACCTGGTAGAAACAAACACAAGTCATCTATGGAAAACAAGCTTCATTTTACACCTCAACAAATTGCCACAACTAAAATATTCCCCCAAAAATGCACAAGCAGCTTCACAATGAAAATTAACCAAACACCTTGAAACCAGAAGTATGACCAATGAAAACAAGAGCAACAAACAATGGAAGCTGGGCGTGGTGGCTCATGCCTGTAATCCCAGCACTTTTGGAGGCCAAGGCTAGAGGATTTTGAGACCAAAAGTTTGAGATCTTGTCTCTGAAAAAAAAAAAAAAAAAAAAAGGCAACAATGGAAATAAAAGGAGTAAAAAAAGAGGATTAACAAGATAGACTTGAAATGACTAACTTTAGTGTGAAAAAAGGAGAGTCTTAAGGAAATACAAAAGTGACCACACAGATTTGAAAAAAGAACTTTTTAAACTTTATTTGAGACAGTGTCTTGCTGAATAACCCAGGCTGGAATGCAGTGATGTGATCATAGCTCACTGCACTTGGAATTCCTCAGCTCAAGGAATCCTGCCTCAGACTCCCAAGTAGCTGGGACTACCACTGTGAGCCACTTCATCTGGCACATTATTCATTATAAGCAAGTCTGCCTTTGCATCATCAAAACAAAACAAAAAAGCCCCTTAGCCCTGGGGCTTGAGGCAGGGAAAGGGATGGGGTAGACAAAAGTCCATGGAGGTGCTCAGTCCCAGGACAAGTGACAAAAAAAGGACAGGCCTGGAGTTATTAGGATGGGCCTTTGTACTGAGCAGCAATGTGTACCCTATTTGGGCTATCAGAGTACCCTGGTCAGGAGCCTCCACATCCCCTTCCCTCTCATCTCCATGATTCTTTACATCCTAGCTTCTTCTAAGGCGGAGAGAGAAAGGGGGATATTTATATACATCTAATATATATGTTATAATTAATATATTAAATATATTTAAATTTAATAATTTGTTTAAATATATAGATTTTAATATATAGATATATATAGGTATTTCAAATCTATATATTATATATAGATATATAATATATATTATATAGTTATCTGTAACTATATATTATATATTAATATTTAAAATCCATATATATATATATATAGCCACTAGGCTGCAACCCTTGTCCCTACACCTAATGTCTTCCTGCTCCCCCTCCAGCCAAATACACAGCCCACAAAAAGACCCAGCAAGCCCATTGCCCAGCAGCATCCCATGGAAGGCTCTGGTGGTATCCTTGGGCCTCAGGAGAATCAGTACCTGGATTTTCCAGGGTTTATCATCAGCATGTTCTCTCCCTGCTGTTCCAACCATGCCCTTCTGCCATCTTCTGAGAGAAGGAAATCAAAGGATCTAAAACTGGGGATTAGGGGAAGATTATAGCCTCTCCTCACTCCCCTCTCCCTACATACTTTACTCCCCAGCCCACAGAGATGCTGCTCATACCAGGAAAGACTAGGAAATATGATTTTTATTTGATTTCCCTCTGAAGTTTTCATCCCTGGGAAAATGAAAAAAAAAAAAAAAAATCAACCATTAAAAAACAAAAAATCAGAAACCCCCCAACTAATCCACAGAGAGCGATGTCTTATCCTCTCCCCTTGGATTTTTTGTTTTTGGAATTTTTTTTTTTTTTTTTGGTTGCCTTATTGTGGAGTGGGATTCTGAAATACTCAAATGTCTATTTTCCTCATTGGAGCCAAACCAAAAAACTCCAACCTTCTATGGATGTGCCTGGTCTTGGACCCACTAGAATCTTTCTCTGGGTTGCTGCATGTACACAGTCTCTGTCCTGGAGGCTAAAGTTGGAGGTAGCTTCGATCAGAACCATGCCCAAGATTTCCCTGCTATTGCATTGTTTGAAGCTGACATCCTGTGTCTGTACACAGCTGCCACTGTTGTGTCCTTGCTCTGCTTGCTATTGCCTCATGCCAGGCCCTGTCCTGCCATGACACCCTTCATCCTATCCATGAAATCCCAAGGCCAAGTTTGCTTCAAACTTTGCAGGAACAGACTTGGCCTGTATCTGGAACATATTGTTCTCAGCTTGAACATCTCCCCTACCTACCACAGACAGAAAAGGTGAACACCTACAGCTGAGCCTTGGAAATGTTTCCTGTGTTGACCTGAAAGATCTTCTGAGACCTCAAGGAGACTGCCTCTCTTAAAAAGTGGAGAAAGTTGCCATTTTCCTCCTAGGGTCTGGTGGAGTCTCCCCATCTTGCATCCCCATTCTGTAAACCATTTATCCCTGCCCACCCTCCAATTGACTCCAACTGATAAGAAGGGATGAAAAGGAACTGAGGGCTGTGGGGAACCTGCCAGCTAGTGAAGCCCTGTGGCAGGAAAGTATATGTGGACATAGAGTATATCTGACTTTTCTTCAGCCACTAAATGGGTTGGGCTATGAATGACAGACAATGGAATGGCTGGAGTCTGCTGCCATCAGAAGCTAGGGAGGAAGATGAAGGACTGAACCACACAGACTGGAATACGTGTCAGGTACAGTCATAACTCTGTGTTCACTCTTGGTGGGATGTAGGTAACACAGAGGAGTTTGTGGTCTTGTTGCTCACTTATTGCAATGCCTTTTACCCTCCTTTTCAACTGGTTCCTCCACTGAGTCCAAAGGCTGGCAATAGGAGACAGTATCCCAGGCTAACAAGGGCTTACCTGTTACCTTAGGGACCTCATTGCTTTTAGCCTGTGCCCTTCCCTGCCATTGCCCTCGCAGTGGTTGGTATGTGGGAAACCCATTTCCGTTCCTGTGACCCATGTCTTGAACCAGGCATAAGCATCTGGTCTTTGTGAGGACAGTGGAATCTGAGGCCTTTCCCTGCCCCGTCTGGTACCTGCTCCACATTGTACCAGATATTGGACTCCTTGATGCCCTCCTCCTTCCCTTTATTCCTCCCTTCCTTCAGGTCTTGCAGCCATGTACTGTATCCAGCATCACAGAAACCTCAACGTTCCTCCTCTGCTCTGTCTGGGGCATAAAGAAGCCTTGCCGTGTGGTGAAAGGCTCTTCTTATCAGGAGTACACTCACAGGCCAGGGGGCTGCCATCTTCTTCACAGACATTCCCAAAAGTGAAACCCCTTTGGGGCAGAAAGGTAAGGACTTCATCTCAACATAGATTGGTGGTTGGCGCCAGCGGAGGGAGACACTTCTGGTTTTTTTTTTTTTTTTTTTTTTTTTTTTTTTTTTTTTTTT